ATGAATAAAATGCAAACCTCATGGGAAGTAATTCAAAGAGTCAATAACTGGGATCTCATATTACTAGAAGGTTTTTGCCGTTCGAAAGAAATCAACAAAGTGAAAAGAAAATCCCCAGAACAGGAAAGAATTTTAGCCAGCAACCCTTCAGACAAAGGACTTATATCCAGAACATATAAAGAATCGAAAAACATCAAGCCCCCCAGATTCAAAGACCTTCTCCAAAAATGGGCATCTGATATCAACATATAGTTCTCAGATGAAGATATACGAATGGCAAATAATAAATACATGAAGAAATGTTCACCATCAGTGGTCGTTCAAGAAATGCAAATTAAAACAGCACTGGGATTTCATTTCACCCTGGAAAGAATGGCGGTCATCAAGAAATCAACTGACAACAAATGTTGGTGAGGATGCAGGGAAAAAGGAACACTTCTCCACTGTTGGTGGGAGGGCAGACTGGTGCAACAACTGTGGAAATCAGTATGGAGACTCCTCGAAATCTAGGATTGGAAGTTCCTTTCAATCCAGCTATTCCCCTCCTGGTTATTTTCCCAGAAAAACTGAAAAGGTCACGTCACAGTGATATATGTGCACCCATGTTCATAGCAGCACGATTTGTGATAGCTACGTCTTAGAAACACCTAAAATGCCCATAAACTGCAGAGTGGATGAAAAAGATATGACATTTTTATACAATGGAATACTACTCAGCCATAAAAAGGACGGCCTGTGGCCTTTATAGGTAAATAGAGGCAACTTGAGAAAAGGCTTATTAGTGAAAGAAATAATACTCACATTAGTAAATATCACATTGTCTCTCTAATGTGAAAAATAATAAAGCTGACAGAGTTAAGATTCAAAATGTATAATAGATATTTTAAAAGTGAAAGAGAAGGAAAGTGCTCTTAAGGATATAACAGTATGCATAGTGTGCAACATACATGACCATATTATTAAATTTCTGTTAGATTATTGAACAGATGAGTTTGTACTGTCAATGTTTGAGTGTCTAGCCATTTTTTATGCTTTGATTTTATAACTTTAACAACTATTTTAAGATAATAATATATAATATATCAACTAGTGATTTTATGATGTTAATTTTTTTGAGTTCTGTATTATTGAACCATTTTTTTCTTTTTTATATTTTATTTTTTCTTTCTTTATTTCTTTAAATAAATAAAACAGTATGCAATGTATTAACCTTTGTTGCCCTATTATTATCTTGTGTTGAAATTTTTATTTTTTTCCTCTTTTTAAAAAAAGGAAATTGGAAATATAGTCCTTGATCTTGGATAGGAAAATTCAACATTGGAAAAATGACCATACTCCTAAAACTGTTAGACGTATTTAATGCAATCCTGATCAAAATACCAATAGCATACCTCCCAGAAATAGAGAAAACAATTCTAAAATCATTTGGAACCCAAAAAGACCATGAATAGAAAAAACAATTTTGGGCACCGAAGGCAATGCAAAGAACATCACAATCCTTAACCTGAAATTTTACTATAAAGATATTGTGATTAAAAAATAGTACAGCTGTGGACAGAAAAAAAGGAGGAAAAAGCCAAAGCTGAACAGACTGGATAATGCAGAAACAACTTCAAAAACACACAGCAACATTATCTTTGACAATGGGGCCAAACACCTACACTGAAACAGAGAGCTTCTTAGTAAATGGTGTTGGAAAAACTGATTTTCCACATGTCAAAGACTAAAACTAGAACCATATCCCTAATCATATACTGAACTAGAAACAAAATGAATAAGAGATCTAAATATTAAAACAGAAATACTAAATTTTCTAGGAAATTTGAAGACATAGGTATAAGCAAAAACTCATGAATAGAATATTGGTCACACAGGAAATGTCACAAAATATCAACAACTGGGATTTCCTCTTATTGAAAAGCTTTTTCACAGTAAAAGACACCAACAACAGAGTGACAACACAATACACAGATTGGCAAAAACTTTTTTTAAAAATTTTATTTAAAGAGAAAAAAGATAAAAACAGGAAAAGGATACAAGTAATACAGAATTTCATAAAAATAAACAGTAAGAAATCACTAGTTAATAGATTACATATTGTCATCTTAGAAATAGTTGTTCAAGTTACAAAATTAAAGCATACAAAGTGGACATTCAAACAGTTCTGTTCAATGATCCAACAAAAACTCAAAATGTATAATTGTTATTGTAAAAAAGAGAGGAAAAGAAAGTGCTCTAAAGGATATTACTGCATGGATATTCAAGTGGCAAAAACTTTTGCCTGGTGTTCCTCAGATGAAGGACTAATATCTAGAATCTATGGAGAACTCAAAATTATCAGATTTCCCAAACTACTGACCCAACCCAAAAATAGCATCTAAAATGAATTGACACTTCTCGGGTGAAGAAGTAGAAATGACAAATAGATATATAAAAAATGTTCAACATCACTAGTTACTCTGGAGATGCAAATTAAGACAGCATTGAGATTCCATCTCACTCCAGAGAGAACGGTGAATACTAAGAAATCAGTTAATAACAAACACTGGTGGGGCTGTGGAGGAAAAGGCAACCTTCTCCACTATTGGAGAGAGTGTAAACTGGGGAAAATCAGTGTGGGGTTACTCAAAAAACTAAAACTGCAAGCCCAACTTGACCCAGATATTGTCCTTCTTTGTATCTTCCCAAAAGAGTTAAAAGCATGTTGTAATAGCCATGTGTAGTCGCCAATTCTAGGAAACAGCCCAAATACCCATCAATCAATAAATGGATAAAAAGGATGAGTTTTTTTATATAAATGAGTGCTACTGAGACATAATAACAAACTGGAGACTTTTCTAGGTAATTAGAAGCACCTTGAGAACATCTTCTTAAGTAAAGTAAATCAGACACACGTTTGCTCAGTCTGGTATGAGAATCCAAATATGTAAATAAAGACAAAATTGTATAACAGACACTGGGAAATGGAAGAGAATGTTCAAACGGGAAGGGGATCAAGGGAGGAGTGGAGGAGAAGAGGGAAAGGAAGAAAGGAAAAAGAGAAAACAGCTTCACTGTACCACTCTCCACTGCATAATTCTTCATGTTTCGAATTCATTTCACCAGCACTGTTGTTACAGTCCACATTTCTGAGAAGGAGACTTCTGAGTGCTCAGTAACCCAACATATGCCTTTAGATGCACATGTCTTCCAAACAGTTTGTGGAGGTTTTTCTTGCTTGTTTGTAATACACTCTAATTCCACAGCAAAGATATTTTCATTTTTTCTAAATATCATTTTGTTATCAGAGAAATTCCTTTCCTGTCTTTCTCCTGCCAACTTATTTCTTCCTCTCATTTCCTCTCTTCTTTGCTTCTCCTGGTTTTATACATCACTTTAATTTCTCTTATCATTTAGTTTAATTTCAGAACCAAAGAGACAGGAAAACATGTTGGTAGGGAGGAGGCTTGATGCTGGGACCAGAATCCACTCAGCATCGTGTGACATCACCTGCATGGAAGAGAAACCCTCACTCTGCTCAGGCTAAATGTAACATTTTAAGCAGGTTTGTAAAAAAAAGAAAAAATGTCATGAGCATAGGATTAGGGAGAGCTGATGTAACAATAGTCCATGATGATAGTTTAAAAGACTCTCAGCAAGTCACATGGTTCGGATGAGGAAACCTCACTTGATTTTTTGTCTTCAATCAAGAAAACAAATAATGAAGCAGTGCATTAGAACACATCTCAGGTGCGGTGCTTATCTTTGTTGTATTTGACTCAGTTGATTTCACAGGGGCCAATATTATAATTCAGTGGGTTAAGGATGGATACATGAAATCACCAAAGTAAGTTTCTTCCTCAGGAAGACAGGTAATTTTGCTAACATTGGACAGCAAAAAAGAGTCTAAATGTATTAATACTGGCAATGAGGAAATTAAGACAGGTTTTGGGAAGGAGGAAGAGAGCAGAGATTTTCAGAAGCGGATTGGCATTGCACTGAGAGAAAAGTGTTGGATTGTGGCAAGGAAACACTTTAATAGTTCTTAGACAAAATAAAATAATTAATGAAGAGTCAAGTATTGGAAAAATGTCTAAAATTCAATAATTTCCATCGAGTTTTGTTACTGTTGCTTTCTTACCATTGATCTTCCAGAAATGTGAACAATTTTTTCCACTTATTGCTGTATAAATTTAATCAATTCTTTCAGTAAAATTGGGAAGAGTATTGATAATGAACAAATCAAATAGCTCTATCTATAGATAAACTGTCTCTCTTTTTGGGATATTCAGGTGGTTAAAACAAAACATTGGGGAGATCATGAGCTAGAGTGAAGAGGAAAAGGACAGCCCTTGGTAGAATTAGGTGAGACTGTGATACCAGATTTGGCACGTGGAAATCCTTGAAATCCCTTTGTGACCCACATCTCCCCTTTCCCTTTTCATCTTCTCGGACTCTCATAACCACAGTGGTAGTCAGACTGCCATATGATTTGGTGTTACAGAATTCTTCATTCCCTTGGTCACGTCGCTATAGGCCTCTGGCTCTTTTCTCTCTCTGTGTAACTGACTAGACTCTCTGTGATATGATTTCCAATATCCAATTCTCTGTTCCCCACTTCAGGGACTCTGAGAGACCCAATCTGCTGACCAGATGAAGCCTAACTGTGAAAACCTTGTAACTCTGACCCCTGATTTCTTATCTGTTCCTAGGGTCTCCTCATCATTTTTTATCTGTTCCAGGTCTCCTCATCTTGATGATCTCATACTGCCTTACTCCATTTGCCCTACTCCACTCTTTCTCAGGCTTCCTTCCCCAGTGGAACCCACCTACAGCACTGTGTTTCCCTCTAAGTCTGATCCTGACTGATGGCAGCAGTACTTGCAGTACAATTATCTCAGAAATCTCCTTTCCTACTTATTCATCTTCTATCACAATTACCTTTTCTATTTTTGCACGTATGAACCCATGAAAATAGCCCCTGAATTTCATTTAATAATCACACTTCGTACCAACTTGAGGAATTTGTCAAACAATTTTAATTTTTAAAAATAAAACAAAATTCCATTACAAGACAGAAAAGAAATAGAATTTAAAAAGTTCTTTTGATTTCATTGTGGCTTGAAAATCAAAAATAATAGGATCTATGATATTTCTTAGTTTAGAGATTTTAAGAATTCATTTAAAATGTAAAAAGCATTCAGCAAATATTAACTGAACATTTGGACTTTCTAAAGGGTGCATTGATGTGGGAGATGAGAATTGTGCTGTGCACAGATTCTATTTCCATCACCATTTCAATTACATCATGTTAGGAAATGTTCTCATGACTCTTACCAGGGTCATTTTTCACGAACAAAGGGAAGCAATACTGCACAATAACACTCTCTGTGATTTTTCTGTCTCAGGTTTCTGAATATAGGGGTCATCTGACCTGAAGCAGACCATGCTTGAAAACCTTGGAGGGGACAAAGGGGACACAACCAGCACTCCCATATTCTATTTCCGAGGATTCAAAATGTTTGGCAGTCCTTTCCTGGGATGTCTGTCCTCACTGCCTGTAGAGACATAGACTTTGCAGCTGTAAGTGGAATCCAGTGAACACCTTTACATCCAACATGTAGACATTTCTTCACCTTTATATCCAACATGTGAACATTTTCTTCTTCCCATCGTGTTTCCTTCAGATCAACAGCTTTGAAAACTGAGCATTAGGGATGGATTTACAGAGCAAAGATTTCCTTTCCTCTCAAGTCCTTTGTTGGTTTCAAAGTTTACAACATTTTTATTCTGACCATGACAGTAAAGTCCAAGTGATTAAAGAGCTACAAAAGTGTCTAAGTTTGAAATAAGCATTTCATTACTTTTATATGTAAAAAAAATTGCTTATGAAAGTACAACCCAATAAATTTTCAATATTATGGGGTTTTTAAGAACAGTATATTTAATTTTTAAAGGAATTTTTATATATTTGTTAATGCCTTAAAGAAACTTGGTGTTGTTCACAGACTTGATTAAAATTGTGCTTTTGCCCTGCATCATAAATTGTATTCAGAAGAAAATCCTTTTCAGAGTTGTACATAGCACCAGGCTTTGAATTTCAAGATTTGTGAATGTGAGTATGTGTGTCTGTATGTGCATAGTGTGAATAGGGAAATACTCAGATACCAGGGAAGGAGATAATGTTGGTTAAATGAAAAAAAAATAGTTATTTATTTCTATATGTCTCCTTTGCTTACTAATGTTTCCTGAGTTGATAAAGTCCTTTTTTTATTTTAAAAAGAACAAAACCAAACCAAACAGATCACAACAAAACAACATAAGCAACACAGGATTTCAGAAGAAGACAACAGGAAATCAACAGTGGCCACCATAATTTCTCTTGTTTTCTTCAAAATAGTTGTCCGTATCTTCACACACAGTGAATTCAAACAAAAAAATAGTATAAAACTTATCAAATCAAAAGAATGAAAGCATCATAGGCCTTCAAAACCAGACAATAGGAAAATAAACAATGGCCAACATAATATCTCTTGTTCTCTTCAAAACAGCTGTTCATACTATTGCACATATTGAAATCAAATAATAGAAAATTGACTAAAAGCAAACTAAACAAAGAATAAAAGCATTATTAAACTTTAAAACAAGATAATAGGAAATCAGTAATGGCTACCACAATGTCTTGTTTTCTTCAAAGTAGCTGTTCATTGCATTACAAATGATAAAATCAATTCTTGAAACTCTTTACGACAAGTTCTAGGCATGTGTAAGCCTACAAATGCTCATCTATACCTTCTGGATAAGAGAGAGAAAGCAAAACAAAACACCAGAAAAATAAGAAACAAAATAGCAACAGTAACAATAACACACAGCCCAAAACAATAACAATATGGGCTTTCAAACAAAGTGGTAGGAATATAATTAAAGTTGTTATTTTGCATAGTTACCTTCAAAAGAGTTACTCAGACTATCAGATGTATACATGCAAAATGAATATTAACTGTTTTGTTTTAGATAAAGTCTTTAATTTGGTAAATTCTGTGATTTATTCTTGCATAAATAACAATACACTTAAATATTGCTATGCTTAAGTATCATAAAATTTCCAGGAATGGTTTTATAATTAAGGTTTGATAATGTTTTCTCAAACTTGAAATAGTGAAATTCCCTTAAAAACCTGAGAGTCAATTTTTAGCTTCCATCAAGAATATGTATATTTGTTCACTTATCTTTATAGTTACTTTACAAAAACATTTGTGACAGCCTTAAATGAATTTAGATTTCCTGTTAATCCAGACGTGTGGTGCAGGCCCATAATTCCAGCACTCAGCAGGCTGAGGCAGGAAGATGGTCAGAAGTTCGAAACCATCCTGGGCTATGAAGTGAGCTTAATGCCAGCCTGTACTGCATAGCAATGCCCTGTCTCAAAAAGACAAAAATAGAAATAAAAATAAAAAATAATTTTCTATTAAAGTGAATTTCCTAGAATATCATATATTTTACAAAATATTTAGGGCAGTATTTTTAAGAATGAAACCAGTGATTAAACTAATTTTATCAAAAGGTCATATATTTTAGTAATTTGATTTTAAACCAGAGTTGCTGATACAGAGAGAAAAAGACTTTCTTCTATAGGAGAACAGATTCAACTTCTAGAAGGTTAAATGACTCACTCTCATATATTTCATCTTAAAAAGGGCAGTTGAAAGTTCCAGCTGTGAGGAAGATATGTTTTAGTGTGGTATCAGAATATGGTCGTTTTGTTCAGATACCAGACACATCTTCTGTGTTGAGTCTTATTTATTTACTTTTTATTTTTGCTACCTGAGTTATTGTCTCAAGTCACTAAGTACATCTTCCTTTGTGATTTTGGCCCATGAATCAGGGATTTCACCTAGATTTTTAAATTTTAGTTGGTATTTTTCTTCTAAATTATATCTGAAATGACAGATAAACCATTTCCAATATGGTTGCAAGGATGAATCCGGGGTGATGCTCCAAGTGGCATAGTCCCCTCCTGCCTGCCGATAGGTCTTGTATGGGATTCTCCGGTTGTCATCTAAAATAAACACAACATCACTTGCCACTGCAGTAGAACAGAAGTCAATGGAAAACTCATCTGTTTTATACCATCTCGTTCCTGTGACAGCCTTAGAACGGTGGAATGGAACACTGTGGTCTCCTTCGTGTGTAGCAATGGTGTTGGTACAGATGGATTTACAGAAGGGACATTGTTTCCAGCACCCACAAAGTTGATCAGAGAGGACTTTTTCAATTACAGGAAACATTTCATCTATAGGTATACTTAAAAACTTTTCTTCTGCCTTTTTTATTGCACCGTCTAATGCTTCTCTCATGACTTCTTTGAGAAAATCAATATCTTTTAGCTCCTGGTGTTCAATGCCTCTCAAGTCTGCTCGTGGAAAGATCAACTTGTTCCCCAGATGATCACAGAAGAAATCCAACCACTCAGATACAGAGCTGCTTTTATCTTTGGCCTGTGTTGTGGAGTCTTGAATAGCACAGAGGATGGCACTTTTGATGTTGTCTAAACTTATTTTTAAAAAAGTCTTTAATTTTTCATAGCCCTTTTCAGAAAAATATCTTTCAATCTGCTTTACAATGTAAATCCTGAAAAAGGACTTTGGATCATGAATGTATTGCCAGTAATTATCAAAATTTTCTTCCTCTGCCAGAGACATGAGAATATGTTTTTCCAGCTTAGCCCTGTTTCCATTGAATGCAGGGCAGGTAGCTTGCATGTCCCCAGCAATTGTAGTAGCCATGTTTTCCCATATGGTGGTAGATACAGCAGGAATGAGCTTGTTCCACAGAAAGTCTACAAATGACTTGACAGAGGTTGCTCCTTGGCAGGAGATCTTGAAACTTGTGAAGAAATCATCTTTTTTACTTTCCAGATAGATTACAGGATCATTTGCTCTCTTGAAAGCCCTATGCATTTCGTTAAAACTTTTTGATGCTCTTTTGAATAAATGCAAAGATAAATCTATGCTGTATCTGCTTGTAAATGAGAACCTTTCATTTGTAGGTGCAGATTTCACTTCCTCTTCTATTATTGTCAGAATTTCATGAAAATCATTTACATTGTAATCACGACTTTGCTTCCAAATATTGTCAATAGTTTCATCAACTCTTGTAGAAATGCGTTTAGTAGTCACACTAATTAACTCTCTGTCTGCTACCTCTAAATCATGTTTAAAAACGAAATACCACCTACCTCTTTTGATATGTTTCTCATAATTTATTTCAAATTTCTTTCCAGAATTTGTTTGTATCATGTCCACTATGTTTTTCTCCTTTTTGAAATGTTCCAAAAGAACATTCTCAGAATCTACCTCAATCTGAGGCTCTACCGCTGGAGGAAGATTTGAGGATATATCATGGACCCATTTACTCCAAAGTTCATTAAATTTCATCCTTAACTCCTCCTCACTCAATTCTTTACCTTTTACAGTTAAAGCCAACTCTCGACTCCTTTGCAATATTTCATTTTCATAATCCATCTTTTTCTTATCCAGCCTTTCCTGACATCTTTTAAGATCAATACGTCTATTGGCTTCTTTTCTGGCTTCCGAAATAAGTGTTTCTTTAAGAATTTGTAACTTATTTTCAAAATTTCCTTTCCATTGAATCAGAATTTCACTCTCTGGGTCTTCCTTAAAATACTTCTCAAGGTCTTCCTTAATGGTGGCATATTTTTCTGTAACTGGACCTTCAAGTGAGCTTCTCTCCAATGTCTGGATTTTTCCATTCTGAATCTGATTGTTCAGCTGATTCTGCAAGTGCAGCACGTGACTCCTCAGCTTCCAGGACCACTGGTTGTACATGGTTTCCAGTTTGCTCATGGCCATGACCTCTTGGGTATTTCTGAAACTGAAAATGAAGTTCTCACTGACCAGGGCTCTCCACAAATCTTCAATTCGGGATTTCATACCTGATATTCTTATGATATTTTTCCTTGATTCCTGTTTAGCCATCAAAAGAATTGTGCTTTTCAGTTCTTGGATGTTGTGACTATAGAGAGGATTAGGAGGGGCCATTGGGGGGTTGCCATCCCAAAGGTGAGCAAAGTAGCGGACATGAGTATTGACATCAAACTTAATGACATCATTGAAGCAGGACACATTGGAGCACTGCTCTTGCTCAGCAGCAATCGCTGCCATTTCATCTAGTTTCTGCTGTAGCCGCCTCCTTCCTTCCATGGTTTGCTCTTTTGCTGTAACTTCCCCTACATTCTGATGGACAAAGAGGCAACTTGGTGAGATTTTCACTTGTTTCATCCTCAGAAAGGCTTGGACAGCTATTTGTAGGATATCTTGCATCTCTGAAGGGTTCTCTCCAAATATATTGATCAGAGTCAAGTTTCCAAGTCCAATGACAAAGGTTGCCAACTCATTGTCCCTATTCTGGGATTTGTTGTTGAGTTCTGGGGCCTTGAGTCCTTCTGTGTCTACAACCAACAGAAAATCAAATCCAAGTTCTTGTGCAAAGATCTCTTCCACCTTCAGGAGCTGCATGTAGGCCCCCCTGGTACATCTGCCTGCACTGACCCTGAACTGTAGCCCAAAAAGTGAATTCAGCAGGGTGGACTTCCCTGAACTCTGCAGGCCCAGAACAGAAAGAACAAACAGTCTCTTGCCTGGAAGTTTCTCAGAGACCTTGTCAAACACAGCTGACACCCATTTTAGAGGCACATAGGATGCATCTCCATCCATCAGCTCAATGGGCAAGCCAGATAGCATCAGGTCTGCAGCAATTTGGGGAAGGGAGAGAAAAACAGCATCTCTTTGGGAAGAAATTTCTTCCAGAGCTTCATAAAGCTGCGCAACTTCTCTGAGAAGCTGTTCAATTCCTAAGGTACAGTCACTGATCTCTGTGGAGATGGCTTCCACTTCATTTTGCCACTGATCTAAAGAATTACACTTCACTGCTTTTTGCTTTTCTGTTTGAAGCTTTGACCACAAATGTCTTTGTTTGTCATGCAGATTTTCCAAGTGTCCTGCAGTAAAACTCTCCAAAAAGTCACTGAGCCACTGCAAAATGTAGAGTATGACATGAGTTTCTGCATGTTTTTGCAAAATTTGCAGAAAAGTTCGCATAAGGTCATTGAGAGATTTTTCCAACTGTTGTCGCCTTATTGTTTGTTTTTCTTTCTCAAGCTCACTCTTGTGTTGTTCAATGCTCTTGTTCCCTTTCTCTCTTAGATGATAGAGTTCTTTGTCCTTTTTACACCAAAGATGCCACAGTTGTCCCTGAAGGGGTAGTAAATTTCTCTTTATGTCAGATAAGTTCACTTCTCTCAGGAGGGCCATTATAATCTCTGCCTTTTCTTTGCCTTCTTTGCAGTCCCCATGGTCTTCATCAATCAGGAATCCTTGTTTGCGAGCAATGGGAGAACAGTCTTCCAGGCTGCGAGCAGTGTCAGAGAGCTCTAGTAAACGTCTGATTGCAATAGTGATCTCTTCTGTTAAGTCTGCCTCGTTTGTATTCCTGATACCAATTCTTACTCTTCTGCCAGAATTATCGACCATGTTTTTTTCTTTGTCATCCAGCAAGCAGATCAAAAATTGTGATGACTGCCACAGGTCACGGACAATTTTCTTGTTTTCTTCATTGTTATCTGAGGCTGACATGAGGATCACAATGAGAGAAGAGACCTCCTTCAGGAAAGCAAGCTGCCGTGGGTGGTTTTTTGCATCTCCATGAAGATTGGTGAAGGTCACACAGTTGTCAAATCTGTCCTCATCTTCTTCCCCAGGACAGTACCAGCAAACTTCCACCACACCCTCCATCAAAAGACAGTCTTTGCTGCTGCCTTTGGAGTGTCGGTGAAAAAACACATCATGTTTTCGTTTACTGAGAAGACAGTTCATGATTTGAGATTTGGAAGCAGAGAGGCCATTTCCAACTCTAATGAAGGATACAATAGAAGCACTTACATGACACATTTGCTGATTGTTAAAACTCTGCTTCTTTCCTTTAAGTGATTTGCTGTTATGCTGCCAAGTCCTCCTAATTTGTTTGAGACACCAAAGAGAGAATTCAATTTGTGAAGTACAAGGGTTAGGCACCAAAAGGGGGAGGGCAAATTGACAAATAGAAAGTTTCCCCAGAATATATTGTCTGGCAAAGTCATCTGCACAGTGAAAAATTGCCATCTGGATATCCATTGGATGAATGTGAGGCCTGTGCTTAGTGATGACAGGACTGTTGCCATCATTAAAAAAATCTTCATATGGATCGGAAGTTTCATGTTTCTGTTCAAATGTGCTTGGATAAATCTGATGTTCTAAGTTTTCTTTTTCTCTGCAGGCCAGATATCTCAATCCATAATCAAGCATCAGTAGCTTCTGTAGGAAATAGAAAGGAAGCTCCTGTTCAGAGCTGAGATAGGTTTTGTAGACAGAAGTCTTATAGATCTGATGAAAGTTAGCTCTGACCATCCTTTTGGGGAAGTCATGTTCTAGGCCTAGTCGCTGGAGTAAATTTTGGAAGGCTCCATTTTGTATCACCTCCTGTTTAGTATCGTCCTTATCATGTGATTTATATGTCTTTTTATTGCCATCAAGCAGACTTTGCAATTGTTTTTTGATCTTGTCTATTTGTAAAGATGAACTAATGTCTTTATCATTCCCATGAAGGATCAATCTCAATTCTTCTTCCAGGTCGTCCCAGTTGTGACTTGCTTCATGTTTCTTGAGGACATGTGCAACTTCTTTGGACAGGGATTGGCCCATATGTTCTCTGATCAATGCCATGCGCTGTGTTTTTTCTTCTGGAGAAACAGCTGTGATTTCAACTGATGCTGTCAGACAAGTAAGCACTAGGAATGCCTGAGACCTGGAGATGCTAATATTTTTAAGCTCTTGGTATTTACTATGAGCAGTCTGCATTTTCTCCAGTAGAAAGTTTAACTCATCACAACCCAGAAGATACTGAAAAATATTGTGAACCATGTGATAGCCTGAACCAGCTGCAATACAAAGTAACAAGAGCTGTGTGTCTGTGTGCTTTACCTTCCTAAGGTGGTTCACAAAGCATGTAAGAGCAAGGGTGACTTTGGTAGTGACTTTTCTTTGAGCGTTTTGCATTGTTTCTGGGGAATCAAATGTGACCTTCACTTCCATGAGGTCATTGAGATTTGTTTGTAAGATTTTAATTAATTCTGAAAATTGGGAGATGTTGACTTCCTCTTGCTTTGACTCTGACTGGTAGATCCACTGCATGATGGAGCGAGCCTGAGGAAAGCTTGTCACTTTGTACACATGAGGATCCAGAAGTGTGCGGAGCTGAGATTTAATACATTGAGTTTCACAAATGGAAGATGTCTTGCAAAAATTGACAGTATCTTCCAAGAAATTCTGCAGATCTGAATTTGTGAGGCATACATTAATCCAAATGTCATAACTTGTTATTTTTTCACACAACCTTTGCATGAGATTCATCAGGTTTTTAAGCTGTTCTTCAGGATCTGATACTTCCCAGTATTTTACATCCTGCAGGAAAACTCTAGCTTCCTCCTCAGCACTCAGTAATTCCTCTCCATATTGGATCTGGGCACTGAGGCCAGTCAGAGCAGTGTAATTATCTTTTACACATTTGGCCACTTTTAGAGCATCCTTAAAATCACTTCTGTGGTTGGACAGAATGATGTCCCAAACTGGCACCAGCTGAAGGCCCCTGTCAATGACACACCAGGTTTGATTGTTGGACACAAGACCAGCTTTCCACTGGGCAAGGCCATCTGCCTCTGGTGGGCCACCAATCTGGGCCACAGACAATTTGACATTGGTTTGATGGTTGTGAAGAGTTTTGCTCTGAGAGGCTTTCACTGAATGTGATTCTGATAGAGTCATGCTTGCAGCAACTTGCACTCCAAAGCCAGAGTAGCTGCCCCTTATGAAAGTATCCAGGGCCTCTGATGCCCGCTGCTTGACCTCTTCTAGTTGCTCCTTTTGGAAACCCTCTGAAATTGCCTTCCAACAGTAGATTCCTCCAAGGTGCACAGGCCCTTTGTTAGCATGAGAACCAAACCTGTGGAAGAAGTTTTCAGTCATTTGCTTCAGCAGTGGTGGTGCACTATTATCCAATAGGTCTTCAATGCATTTCAGTTCCTGGAGAGCAGCCTTAGAGAGCTGCAGTTGATCAGTGGGGAAGTGACAGCAGGCCAGGGGGATGTAGGTGAACTTGGTTGAACAAAAATATGAGTGCTCAGAATGTAATTGATGTGTTTCCTTGGATTCTGAATGTTGGTTTTTATCTGTGCCACCTTCTAAACTAAAACCCCATCCTCTAACTTTGGATGAGGCAGTTACACTGAATCCCAGCTTGTCCATTGTCTGAGTGAACAAGGATTCTGCTTCAGAGGATGTAAATTCTTTTGTTTCTATCTTTGTGCCTTGCTGAGGTCCCAAGAGTGAGAATTCCTTGGGGACACTAATTAGATCTTCTCTATTGTATACCAGGTCACTTTGTTGCCTGGTTTGGTACATTCCCTGCAGGGCAAGGCCTCCAGATGCCCATCTCACCAAATCTCTATCTGAGAGAGTTTTCCTATGAGACAAAGACTGTTCTATGAGACTGAGGTGTCTCTGAATGTTTTCTATGACTTCCTTGAAGGGCTTTTCAGGCAATGGCCAGTACTCTTCAGGGATCTCCACTGTTTGCCTCAGCTCTGCTTCTTTCCTCTTTACTGGCTCTTCCTGTCTCTGCCTTCCTTCAAAAAACATGTTCTTTAGCTCCTGAAGTGCTTGTTCTGCTTGCTTTTGCCTTTTTTTTATCGTCTCCATTGGTGACTCCTGTAGCTCTTGGTGAATATTTGAGTGTGACAGCTCAAACAGCTTCTCCAGGGCTTTCTTTTCCCATGGATGCTTCACCAGGGATTTCAAGACCTTGAGATCTTTTCCTTCTAAATATTGTAAGGCCAGTGCACAGGTCACACCCAGGTGTTCCTGAAATTTGGGCAACCAAAACTTAGTGTCCAGTCCAACATTTTTTAGTAGCTCTTGGAGATCTTGTTTCCTTTTTTCTCTGTTCAGCAATTCATCAGTGTCATAGTCTGCAATAGCCATGGCTGTGTGAAGAAAACATCAGTTACTAGAAGTTACTAGACTGCTTTCTGATATTATAAGTCTCATCCAGACCTTTATATCTTCTCCCTTAGATTTTCCAAATTACTTGTTTTGTTGTTTCTCTTGTGTATGTGTATGTGGTGTATGTACAAAACATCATTTTTTGTGTTTTATAGATTGCTTTTTGGCACATGATGAGTATCAAATTAGTATCTTGACTTTTGAACTAGCTCTTAGAATCTATTTTATGAAAAGCTTTAAATTATGGAATGAAATCTGAAAATGTACATGTGTGTCACAGCTTTTAAAACAAGGTGACACCACTCTTCCTTTGTCTTTCCTCTACTCTTTTCTCTGAGACCTACATCAAGTGGTTCCATTTTCACCTCTCTGCCACTCTTGTTAGTAGTACATGTTTGCTGTACATATGATTACATTCAACATAGGGAATTGCTACCTGTAAACAACACATATTAATTATTTCTTCTTCACTTTCAATTCTATTTCTTACCTCTCAAACTTTTCATAGGTCATTTAGTATTTGTCATCCCCTATCAGTTTTCCTTTAATTTTTGCTTTCACATATTTATTATATTGCTATGATAGGCATCTCATCTGCAATGGTTTGAATGTTTCTTATAGCATTCACATTGCACTTCAGTTGCCATAAAACATTATTAGGTATTGTAATATTTCAGAGATAATTAAGCTACAGGGGCTGCTCTCATCATTGGCATTAACACTATTATAAAAGTGTTAATTCAGATCCTTTCTGCCTCTTCACATGCCTGGTTTCTGTATGTGGTGATGTAGCAATAAGTCTGTCATTGAATGCCTGTCCTTTGATCTTTGACTTCCCATTCTCCAGAAGTGGAAAGCAATAAAATATGGTCACTGTAAGTTATACATTTTCAGTATTCTGCTATAGCAACCCAATATGAATTGTCATGAAATGTGGTACAGAGAAACAAGGTATTAGACTAGCAAAAAGCCAAAACAATGGAAGCATGAATGTAACTGTGTAATGGATTGATACTGGAAGAATCTGGAGGAAAACAATGTAGTAAGAACATACAGTACCAGAAAGAGAGCATGAATGGCAAGTCTGTTGAAAGCAAACATAGAAAGTGAGGAACTATAGGGCAAGTTCGAAACTATTTAGAGTTAATAATATGGTCATGATAAGAATATTGGTTAAAATAAAGATGGTTAGGGAATTCTGTGAATTCTCTGAAATAAATGAAGTGTTGGAAACCAAGGCTATCTTTGTTATAAAGAGGCAAAGTATTTAAATCAGTAGTATCTTGCCTGAGGAGTATGCAAAAGGCAAAATCTCGGGGTGATAAACTAATATATTTAACTGATGAAATCTCAATGTAGAAAAGCACTCAAGGAGCTGCATTCTTTCTCTCTACTGCGTAACCTAATACAATGACAGAAAGAAATAATTTAAAAGTGAAATTTATAATTAAAAACAGGGCATAATTTAATGATTCCAAAACATACTACCCTGGTTACAGAGTATATGAATAAAAATGCAGTATTAAACAATAAACAAACATGTGATCAAAAGAGAATTTGATAGACATTAGTATGATAAAAGGAAGACAAATGCTATTCATTAAGACAGGGGGGGGGGAATAATCCCAATGTTTTTCAGAAGAGTTTCAGGCTGCCACTTACATTATGACCCAGAATACTGGGCTCTTGAAGGCACAGCAGTTTCAAGAAAGCAGTTCAAAAGACTTAGAGAACTCCAGAACTTGCTACTTCCTGCTGCCTCAGCTGCCTCATTTTGGCATAACGCTTCCATATTGTCCTAGCTATGCCTCCAGTTAGTTATTCGTGTGTTTGGTGCTGATCACCACTGCGGAAGACACAAGTCAAACCTTGTTCTCATCCACAGGATGCTCATTCTCCAGACATGCACCAAGTGAGATTTTGAGTTATGGCTGCTTCCTCCTGGATTTCTCAGGATGCTGTAGAGAAGTACCACAGGGACACAGCTACCATACAAGAGGCTCTTCATCCATTTTAATTAATCTTTATGTGAGACCACCCTCCAAGTCCCTCACTGTACAATGCCAGCAGAGGGAGCTTTAGACAGGAGACTACAGCTGGTAGGATAAGCCATGTGGCCCGAACCCAGCAAATCCATAGGGACAGGGTTGCTTGAAGTCTTGGGGACACTAACCTTATCCCAGTATGTCAAAGATTTGGGGCATGAATTTGGAAGAGATCATTTCACAAACTGGATTTAGTGTTGATTAATAACACTATCCAATAGGACTTACTTTGCACCCTTTGAAATGGAAAATCATCACCTATCTCACTATTGCATTTTTTTAAAGGAAATTAAGACATTGGATTTCACAGACTCACAGCTGAAGAATTTGCCACAGAATACACTGTAACTTACGTTTCTCTCATTTCTGATTTGGACTACAGTCTGGACTTTTGTATTTTGAGTTGATTCTGGAATACATTAAGCATTTTTGCATTCTTCTGAGATAAAGAAATACAAATGGAAAATAAATATATGAAGCAAGGTTCAATACCATTGGTCATCCAAGAAATGAAATACTGAATCTACTGGGAGACAAGTAGACAAAAATCTTGAAGACACAGATACAGACAGAGACTTCATGAATGAAACAAAAATTGAAGGGACAGTACGCCAAAGATTCAATAACTGAGATCTTATCTTACTAGAAAACTTTTTCACATTGAAAGAAATCACCAATCAAGTGAAAATACAACCCACAAAGTGGAAAAATTTTTACACAATAGTCCCACAGACAAAGGACTTCTGTGTAGGACATATAAAGAATTGAAAAAAAAAATGTGAACCCCCCAAATTTAAAAATCTAATCTTTAATGGTCATCTGAGATGAATATGCACTTCTCAGATAAAGAAATACAGATAGCAAACAATTATATGAAAAAAAGTTCAACATGATGCAAATTAAAAAACACTGAGATTCCATCTCACCCCAGGAATGATGGTCAATTTCAAGAAATCAAGCAATAACAAATGGTTGAGAGAGTGAGGAAAAAGGTACTCTTCTTCATTATTTATGGGCATGCAGGCTGATGCAACAATTGTGGAAATCAGTCCAGAGCTAAACATGTCCATCCTTATTTATAGCAGCACAATTTGTAATAACTAAATCTTTGAAAAAACCCAAATGTCCATCAAATGAGAAATAGATAAAAAAAGATGTGATATTTTTGTGTAATAAAGTATTACTGAGCTATAAAGAAGGACAAATACAAGGCTTTTGTTGGTAAATGAATTTATTTCACCATATGTAAAATAAATGAAACATGCATGTGTAAGCATCATTTTGTCTCCTTTGTGTAAAAAGCTAAATAAGATACAAAATCTGCAATAGATATTGGAAAAGGGAAACCTCTCACAAAGAAAGAATAACTGGGATGAAAGAAAGGAGAAATCAAGGGAAGGAAGAGAAAAAATATACACACATATATACAAAAGATAGCTCACATAATTATACTACTAAATAATTTTAGTTCATGAAAGGGTTCAACTGATTCTTACATTGATTGATTAATTTTTCATGCCTATGTCTTGTAGTCTGAGCAAATACTTAGAAGACAGTATGCAATACATTAACCAATGCTAATTTCTTATTATCCTGTTTTGAAACTCTGAATTATTGTTTTTGTTTTGGTTTGTTTGCTGTCTTCAAAATAAGAGTTTTGGAGCAATTGGGATAGAATGAGCACATTTGTTTACGTATTAGAATGGGAACTTTTAGCATCCTGGGGTACGTTTTACTTTAAATGTTTATCTCCTCCAGAGCTCATGTTGGAATTCAAATGCCATTGTGGTAGCTTTAAAAGATACGATCCTTAAAAAATTAAGAAAATAAAAAGGTAAGACCTTTGAGAAATGATTAATTCATGAAGACTATGCCTTCACTGTGTAATAAATGCCATCATCAAAGAGTGAAATTAATCCATTTTGCATTTCTCTCCTTTCCTCTCAGCTATGTGATAACTTAGTAATATGGTCATTGTCAGGTATCAGAGTCTTTATTTTGGTCTTCCCCACTTCTAATTCTGTGAGTTAAAAGTTTCTTTTTCTTATAAATGATCAACTATTGATTATTCTGTTGTAGCTATCCAAATAAGATCTGAAACACCATTTTATATTAATTTTGTATTGTCCTTTGTATCCTCATGGTGCCATTAATATTTGAATCTAAAACTTAAAGTGAATAAAATCAAGGATTCATGCTGCAAATCTTAATGTAACCTCTGAGTACAGCAATAAGAAAATCAAGAGTTCTACCAACAGAGGTAAATGAAAGGTTAAAATCTGACTGTGTCACTATCAAACTATTACAGTCTGTGTTACTTTAACAGAATACCCATGGATAAGCAATATGCAAACAATAGAAATCTATTTCTGGAAGCAGGGATCCAAGCCTAAGACCTAAACAAGTTCAGTGTTCTGTGAGTGCTTTACTCAGTCTCTGTTTGTTGCATTCTCACATGGTGGAAGGCACAAGCCTTCCATTCTCCCAAAGGCAAAAAAGGATCTAACTTTTTCCGTGTAAGCTTTCTATAAAGCACTGATCCATTTCATTAAGGATGAACCCACATTACTTAATAACTTTCCAGAAAGCTTGAGCTATTCCTACCACAGCAAATGAATATTGGAAGATATTTGTACCATAGAAGAAATGCATCAAAATTTGTAAGTTACAGTGAAAGCAATGGTCAGTGGGAAAATTAAAGCATTAAACACATGAATTAGAGAAGAAGAATGATCAGAAAACACTTGTTTAAGGTGCCATTTTAAAAATTGAAGAGAAGTCTAAAGAAGAAACAGGAAAGAGATAATAAAAATTAAACTAGAAACCAAAAATATGGAAGACAGAAAATGAGCAGAAAAATAGTCAGTGAAACAAAAATTGTTTCCTTTGAAAATATTTTCTAAAAACGTGGAGAATATAACACAGGTTAGAGGGGG